ATTATTATATATTATATTAATTATATATTAGAGGACTCATTTTAGTAATTGATAGGTGAATTTTATTAAATCAACTCTCAATTGAAATCTTTGTTTTTCTTTGGAAAATCTCTCATAGAGGAAACAGAATATATTTATTAATTATATTAGATTAATTATATATTAGGATTCATTTCAGTAATTGTGATAAGTTTAATAATACAATATATGTTATACAATATATGTTGTATACAAGAATATGTTTATTTTGTTGAGCATCTTCTACGAAGATAAGTTATTCCGAATTATTTAATCACAGATAAATAAATAACTAGAATTTTGAAACAAGTTCAAATAAGGCACATGTTCATATCAAAGTTTTATTTTTCATAGTTTTTTGTGTCTTCTGTTCACTCCTGAAGTGAGTTTCACATATTACGAAACACTGTATATTATATACATTCATTATATGTATATACGTTATTACTTTTTTCATTTTACATAATATATTATTAAAATACTTATTATAAATCTATTTTGACTAGATTTATGTATATAATTAATTATACGTAAGCAACATAAGGGCTGCGGTTTCCTCCATATAGAAATTGTCTTCTAAATTTGTATACAATCCTAAAATAGTCATTTGTATATAATCATAAAATAGGTATTGTCATCAATGCAAAGCGTTTGTATATATATATATGTTACCGTCAAAGCCGATAATCAGTCATTGCTAGTAATTCCTCGGCATTACTCTATGAATGCAAAGAGCCTTCAGACGAAGTCAGAAATTGAAAAATTCATCACGTTTTTCCTAGGCATTGAACATAATACTTTGATATCCTATAGAATATCAAATTACTATTTAAACAAAGTTGAAAAGAATACATTCTCAGACACAGACACACGCAGCCATATGATCACACAATATCAGAGATTGCAATGCAGTAAATTGTACAACTTTGCAATTTTTTTGAAAAGTTTTGATAAAAATTTTTTATACTAAAAGTGAATAGATTTCAATGAAATTTATATTAAATTAAAGTACACTCTTTTATCTACACGTAGAATAACATATCGAATTATAAATTTAGCATGTAGAGTTCAGAAAATGTCAAAGAATGCATTGCTGTAAATTGTGCATCTTGGCAATTTCTTTGAAAAGTTTCGGTAAATATTTTTTATACTTAGAGTAAATAGATTTTAATGAAATTTATATTAAATTAAACTTCACTCTTTTATCTACGCGTAGAATACTTTGTCGAGTTATAAATTTAGCATTTAAAGTTCAGGAAATGTCAGAGAATGCAATACTGTAAATTGTGCATCTTTGCAATTTCTTTGAAAAGTTTCGGTAAATATTTTCTATACTTTTTGCAAATGGATTTTAATGATTTTTATATTAAATTTAAGTACATTCTTTTGTCTACGCGTAGCATATCATTTTGAGATATAAATCGATTTGCAAAGGTTTAAAAAATATCAAAGAATGCACTGCTGTAAATTTTTCCTACTTTGCCATTTCTTTAAAAAGTTTTGGCAAATATTTTTTATACTTTTAGCAAATAGATTTTAATGATTTTTATATTAAATTAAAGTGCACTCTTTTAGCTACACGTAGAGTACATTTTCGCTATATAAATCAATCTGCAAAGGTTCAAAAAATGGCAAAGAAAAGTTGGCGGATTAGGCAATGTGAATAATGCCTAAAACCAGG